ATGCACATCACATGTTATAGAGGTAATTTTTATGAGAGAGACGTACGTTAGGTGCAGATAGATTGTAGGAGACAGTGCAAACAGCTTTGTCATGTGCATGAAGAGTAAAACTTGGCTTCAATCCCGAATCTTTACCACTGGTGGCTGTTCGAATATCAAAGCCTTGAACAGTACCATCTTCCAGACTTACCTGCATAAGATCAGACAAGAATCCATAAGCAAAGCTTTTCCACTCACTTTCTCTCTCTCCCCCCATGCCCCCTCTCTAGGAAGCATGTCTTTTATTTACTTGTAACAAATAACAGAGTTTACAAGTGGCCAGCAGAATTCAATTTGTTTCTCATGGCAATTTAGACAATAACCAGCATTACTTTTTTTATAAGCAACAAAAAAATTTACTGCTAAAATAAAACTACAAAGAAACTAAAAAAAACATAAAACAAAGGTCGTGAGACATTGAGACAACATTCAGGATTCCAACACTGAAATTGTGTCAAGGTCAAGTGATTATCGAAGATCCCCTTGTTAGTAAGGGTTTAAGCCCCCAGGTTAGCTCCCCTAAGAATGTGCACAAAGGTCACATTGATATCACCAATACCCTAGCCATGCTACATGGAATAGAGGGCTCTGTAAGGGGCCATCTTATTACATTGAGACGTTCCCCTCCTCCTACTAATCGATCTGTCAGGAGATTCATATGCCTATACGCAATGCATGAGCCTCCGCTAATTCAGAATCACAAAATCCCCCATGGAACCCAATAGCTTTTAAGTTTCATGCTATCTTCATCTCTGAAAACAGTACCTGCAAGTCCTGGATTACCCCATGAACATCCATCAAAATCTAGTTTCATAGTGCTCTCCACTGGAGCAATCCAAACCTGTCCTGGATTGATACCAGGGTGGACCTGATAAGAGGCCAAAATCTCCCACTCTTTGTCCAAGTCAATGGTCTTGAAACTTCGAAATTCAAGTGGAAGCAAAGCCCACGAGAAAACCATAATCCTAGTCCTCTTTCTTGAGAACCACTTCATCTCTCCAAAAAAAATGACCATCACACTCTCTCCAAATGCACCAAATAACAGCCAAAATGCTTAATTGCCAGAGCACCCATCCCCTAGGCAAGATTGCCCATAGAGATAGGTCTGCCAACAGGTCTGAGCTGGCCAGCAGGCTTTCGGGCTCGAAATATTTTTGGGCTAGCTGGGGCCAGCTGTAAATTTTGTGATCCCAAGATATCTAACAGAGAAGGAAAACAATGACTGCAAGCAAGAGGAGCAAAAGTAAGAGAGAGAGAGGGGATGGAGCACCCATAGTGAGAAGGAAAAAAAACTACGTTGGGGCCAAATGATTAACGTATGGTTTGTGTTTTATGGATTTGTACACATAATAAACTACAAAGGACAACTTTGTCACAATTACAAAAAGACTAATCAGTCCTAAAGAGTGACAAAACCATTACTAAAGAAAGAGAGCCCCACATGTGCCTCTGAACAACATATACAAAAATACATGCACTCCCTACACTCCCCCTCTGTGCATGTATGTCATGCATGCCCACTGGCTTGGCCAAAATATCGACTCGTTGATTTTCAGTTCTTGTACATAGAGTGGATATGATCTTGGCTGTCACTTTTCCCTGGTAAAATGACAATCAATCTTGATGAGTTTTGCACTCTCACGGAAGATGAGATTAGTGGCGATAAAGATAGCACCTTGGTTGTGACAGTGCTTAGGTATAGACAATGTGAAGTGGATTCCCATCTCGCTTGGGAGTGCTACAACCATAAAAGCTCACATATTGTTTAGGCCATGGCTTGATATTCTGCATTTTCAATGGATTACATAACTGCATTTTGCCTTTTGCTTTTCTCCAAGTAACTGAATTTACCCCCCACCATGGTGCAGTAGTCAGTAGTCAATCAAAGATCAATTGGGCATCTGGCCAAGTTAGCAACTGCGTAGCCGCATAAATCAATAAAAGACTTATGTTTGCATAAAATTCCTTTATTAGGACTACTCATGAGGTGTCTCAAAATGTGTAACTGCCTCCTAAATGTGAAGATTATGGAGCCTGCCTGAGCTGACCCTACTAACTGTATACGTGATCAGGTCATGTAACAGTCGGACCAATGAGGGGACCAACCACCCTTTGGTACATGCCCACATCAATGAGGACCTCTCCTGAAGTTGTATCCAACTTGATATTAGATCAAGTGGACAAGAAAGAGGTTTAACCATTGTTTTCTCAGTTCCCTGTAATAGATCAGGGGCATAATTACATTGCGAAATAAAAATCCTTTTCTTCAAAGTCACAACTTCTATACCTAGGAAGTACTTCATAGGTCCCAAATCATTGATGTCAAAGTCTTGGTGAAGTGGAGTCTTGAGGAAGGACATGTGGTTCATATCATTCCCTGTCACTTATCATTAGCATAAGAAATAAGGGTAGAGGTCTCATCTTTACAAGAGGGAAAAATCAAAACTGCTCCTGTGAATTATGCCTCTCACAAAACTTGCAGAACATAAGAACCAAATCCCCCTTCACCAACTCCCAAGAATCCTGAAAGAAACTCAAAGTGAAACAATCTCGACATGGTGCCCTGTCATGCCCCATAGAAAAGACCGCTGCTTTTATCTCTTCAAAAAGGACTCCCTGTACCGGCTGCCCCTCCCCCCCCCCCCGCCCCTCTCCTCCCCACAAAGAAAAAAGAAGCCATCAACCCTTGGTCTAGGAAATAACTTCCCCAAGTAAAGTTTCTTTCTAAGTGAAGCCCACAACAGCATGTTCCACCCGTTCCTGAAACACTTCCACGCACAAATGGAGAACACAGACTTAGCCTGCCACCTAGTCAATGCGGAGAGATGGAAAAGAGTTGTATACCAATGTTGATTCCAGACTGTTGGAGCCAAAGAGTTTCCTCCTGCTTGAGAAAAATTTCGTAATCCGCCAAAATACGAACCCTACCACACTTTCATTATAGGGAAGTTCTTTGACATCCTTGAAAAGCTTGCAATGCGGTATTCTTCCTATCCCACAATAATCAAAAGTCACCAGGTTCCACTCCTTTAACATCTCCTTCAAGCTTATTGCATGATTGAGGACCAGCCCATCGAACCTCATGAGAGGAATCCCATGAAGAAGTGGCCATAACCTGAAATCCCCATTCCACATATTCTCAATCCTGAATGGTGCAGGACCAAAATACAAGAGCCAAGTATCAAGCAAAAATGGAAAATGGTCAGATATTGATTTAGGGGAGCTGCAACAGTATTTGAAAAGCTTGCCTATTTCCCTTCAGGCATGAGGCTATGCCCTCCCATTGTCAAGCACTAATTGCCTACTGTTCCCACCATCATTACTAGATCTACCCTTTTCGTTTTTGGAGACAATGACTGACCACTCTTTGAAGTCTTTTGAACACCTCCATTCTTGGTCTCATGCATGAGAACAGGCTTCCACTGCTTCGCTGGTCCTTTGTCTGGGACTCCACTCTATCTTCTAAGCTTCATTTCGGTGTACTCTCCCTGTTCCGCCTTTGCACATTCTGCACAACTAGCTATTCTTTTACTTTGGAGGTTTTTCCCACCACAACGGATGACGAACTACCTTCCTCCATCTATGCCACTTGCCAATGGTCCTCTTTAATTTTTGTTCCTGCCACTCTCCCATTTCTGTCCACAGAGGAAAGAAAATCCAATCGATCAATGAAAAATGTGATGGACTCTGCAATTGCATTGCCTGTTGTAACTTAGATGCACATCCCTGCATCAATCTGTTCACAATACAGGGATCACCAACCCGGTGAAACAAATTGTCAACATCCCATGAAATATTTCATAGATCTCCCAGCACAGGGATGTTTCCCACCTTCATCCTCACCATCCTGGGTTCTCAAGAGACAGACTGATATTTATTTATTTACTTGAAACTGCAGACTCATATTCCAGTACCCATTTTTTAGGGTTAATGGATGTAGATGCTAGGAACCTCCAAGCACCATGACACAACACTTATAGCTTCTCCACTCTCCAGCTGTTTGGAAATAGTAAGAATAGATCCAGACCTGCGACCAGCTGAACTCCATTACGGCCACTGGTCTACCATGTGCCTAGCCCATCTCTCAATCTTCCCTTCATCAGATTGAGTCAGGGCAGGGGCAGATTAAAATCTTCCCAGCAGGCAGGTTTCCAACGTCCCCAACCTTTTTCACATAACCACTACCTTACTGCCATGCTGAAATTCTGTCCAACCTACAGAAATATGGAGCTTTCATTTACTCATTACCGGTTGACCTTCCCAGCTTGATTTCGGAAAAGCCAGTTTTCACCTCCTTAAATGTGAAAGCTCTGGTACTGCATCTCCATGTGTCACCCCACCCATGAACCCTGCTTTCATCCCTTTTCCTGTGGTCACATGTCCTTCTTGCTTCTCCCAACGTTTCTAGACTAGTTTCTCCCTTAACTACGGTGAGAATGGTGGCTCTTGCCACCCCCAACATTGCCCACGATTCTTATTCTTCGAGTTAGTCCTCCATCTTATGTTGTGTCTAATCTGTCTAGATTTGGAAGAATAGGAAATTATGGACACATATTATATAAGTTCCATGATGAGAAGTACTCGGTATTTGAAGAGAAGGGATAGGGAAGATTCCTACTTTTGACTTTCTGGACTGCTCATTTACCCCCATACTTTTAAGCATTGGATGATAGAAGTACAAGACAAGTATTACTATGAGAATCAGGTAAAATAAAAATTATAAAGGAAGAGAATCATGAACCATCAAACATAAACTTAAAATCCAGTAATATACCAATGGCTCAAGTAATTCATTGTTTCATCACGACTATGAAAAAAATTAGACCTCCAAAGCATTAATAACCTCAGTATACACAGGCCTCCTTAGAATGGATGAAAATCTGTTAGCCCAACAGATCTCTAGAAGAAAGGAAAATGATAGCATTTCCAAAGGAAAAGACTTGGTCGAGGACAAGAAGACCAAAGACCACAGAAATAAGGCCGGTCACAGAGATAAGGCCTGCAGAATAATACAAGACGATCCAATTAACACAAAACAACCCTAGGAGAAGATCTGAAACCATACAATTGCAATGATTTGGGGATGTGGATTACACTGTAGATTCCACCTCAAAGATATTTTCCAATCCTCTCCAACATTAACTGGATATGAGTTCCACAGTTTGCCCAAACAAGGTGGTAAAGCCAAAGAACAAAAAAGGGAAGTGCCAACACCCAATTTTAACACATAGATCCCTCCAAAAGGTGCCATTCCAGCCCAAAACCATCACTGAACTCTTCTCCAGATTAGATGTTGGAAAGACACCATAGAATATCAAGATGTATCCTATGATCGCTGCTTCATTCACCAGGCATTACAAAATGTCAACAAATTAAAGACATGACATTGGCTTCCCACCACTCACAACCTTCCAATAGAGTGAAGTCAAGCCTCGATCAATCAAATGATAAATTGAGAAGAAAAATAAGGAGAACCTTCACCAATTGTAAGCAGTAAAGGGAAAAGAGTGTCTCCCTTTCATAAGATCACATCTCCAACTGAAAAAGGGACTTATACAGATCCACTCAATAAGAATTATGCAACAATACACATGACGTTATCTGACTCCTACTTTTACATGTAAGCCCCAAATCTATGAAGTAAAAATCCAGAAATCCTAATATTAATGGTCCTAGTCTAACATAATAACCTCACCTCCCCAATCCCCATACCCACCCAAAAAACAACCAACCAGCCCAATGGCTTGAAACAAAGCATTTAGAGAACTGAATTCCCCATCCGAAATCTGCCCACCATTTGACTAAGAAGGCACTTCAATATGAGATACAAGACTAGAATTTCAATTAGCCTCATGGACAAGACACTAGCAAGGATTTTTATGAATGCTTAGAACCAAAACATAAAGGTCTGAAGTCTTAGAATGTCACCAGCCCCCTTTGGCTTCAGAATGAGATAAAAATATCACCATCCCCTTGTTTTTCCTTCAATTCTTTGATCTTTCTCCTAGTGTCTAAGACTAATTATCACTTGCACATTCTCTAAGAAGTGAAAATTATGATTGTTGCTTACTTGTTTACTAGAAACACAAGGCAATAGATTGAAAGAAAAAAAACACTGCAGTTCCTGTATTAACGGTACATGATTGATTCCAAAGAAAATTCTGAAATACAGAATTTGACTATTTGGCCATTCAAAAATTATAAACCTGCATTTATTATGTATTGAAACCAAATAGAAAAATTTTCAAAGGTACTAAGTCTGATTCTGAAATATGTCTCAAATTCCGGCAGAAAACCTGATAGACCCAATTTATTATTTGATTTATGCATCACAGTGGTCTCCATTCCCATCTAAAGATCAAATTTGAGTAATTATTTTATAACCGTAGAGCAAGAAAAAGATCTTAAACTCTGCAGGTAGGATTCCAACGGATAGGCGCTGCGTTTAGTGGAACAACTAATAAGAAAGGGATTAAATATCTCTGGTTTTAAAATCTAAAACTCAGTAATATGGAGCCGCAAAGACACTTAGAATAAAGGAAAACAGCTAGAAGTTACAATTAGAACCAGAGTTTGGATCCATAGCTGTATGTCCCTAGATTTTCAAACTAAATGATTAAAGACAATTACCACAAATGAGTGCTCTGCATGTGGATCCCAGGCAAGGCTTTCCACATCAGCAGTAACAGACCACCGGATGCCTTCATGTGATGGGGTTCTCATGTCCATCTGTCCACAGGTCAGAAATAAATCCAGCAACCATTAACATGTATACACTATAATTCAAATTTTGGAACAAGAAATTAAAAGCATAGGCATCTTTTTCGTCTTATTGGATGCATTTCCTTTCTGTTTTCCATTTTCACATTTTAATGAACATTAACATGTCCTTCCAAAAAAGGATTTCTTCGGCAACTATAGCATGCATAAGGTTCAAATAAGTGACATATTCTTGTAGTAAATCTCATAAGGATCTACCCAAAATAAAATAAACTAGAACTTACAACTAAACAAAATTGAGTACCAATATCCAGGAAATGTCTCAAGCTCCCAAAGTAATATTTATGACAAATCTAGATTTTGTTCCAAACAAGGAGTAATGTGGTAGATCCACATTGAATAGAGGATTTTCGCAACAGTAGGCAAACCAACATACAATTATTGAAAATAAAACTCTATATGGGTTGCGAATATCATGTTTGACTTCAATATTTCCTACCTATCTCTTAGAAATATGTTTCTAGCTTCTTATGATTCAATTGGATCGATTGGCATACGTAAAATCCACATGGAACCATGTTTAATTCAATAAAGCAAATTATCAGGTCACTTCACCTCTTATGCTTCAGATATATGTAGGTTTGTAGAACAAATTAGCATTTATGTCACGTAATTCCCAATCCAACATTGACTATGCATCATGAGATCGACTATATGAAGGAGCGTAGCCAAACAGATCAAGGGAGAGCAAGATATAGCATTAATCTCAGCCTCTGTGCTTTTAATGCACAAGGCTCTCTCCTTTTTTTGTGTTATACTGCGGTTGTTCACCACATTCGTCATTTTGTTTTCCTAATATAACATCTAAATTTTGTTATTCATTAATCAGACATGTGCTTAAATATTTAATTCATCTCTACATTTAATGTTTCATGGTTTCGTATTATCTCTGCAGTGTACTTAGAGAAGTGGGACAGTCATGGCTCAAATATGATGGGTGCCCAAGGGAAGATCGACCACAAGGGGCATGGGCATCTATTGACAAAGGAATTCATAAAGATCAGTCACAAGGATCATCACACACACTAGAACAGAAAAACAGGTTGAGCTTTTTATGTGGCCTAATGCTAGCCAGTTCCATATCCAATGTCTACAGAAGTTGCACGTGTACGCATAAACAGATTCGCTCTGCAGTCATGCCTGATTGGAAAATTAAATAGGAATCTAAATATAGATAATAGGTGGGTGCAGAGCCATTGAGGAGCTTTCGCTGGGGGTGTTTGAGCCTATGCTCAACTAAGAAGAAGCTTGAAGTTCCACTTTAAGTAGGCGGAAGGTGTGTTGAGTGAAAAGGGTGCAGAAAATTTAGAGCCTTTTCCCAACCATTTGGGGTCGGATACACAAATCTTGGACCGCCATTCTGCTCTATTAAGGGTCATACCTTCAATGACGCCCTAAGTCCCCATATCTTTTCTCACTACTTCCAACCATATTCTTTTGGGCCTACCCCTTGCCCTTTTTCAACCTTCCACTTGAACAAACTCGCACTTCCTAACAAGTGTTGTACTAGTCTAACTCAGTGGGAGTCAAACAAGCAATGCAAATTGAAGAAAGCCATTTATGGCTTGAAACAATCCCCACATCCATGGCTTTAAAAGTTTGTAAAATTGTTATATAGCATATGGGTTTCAATGAAATCATGTGGACCATTCAGTATCTATTCCAAGGCAATCCACATGCACAATTGCCTTGGTGGATTATGTTAATGATCATTATAGGGAGTGATCAGAGAGGATGGAGTGAAGTTAAGGGCTACGTGCAGCAATATGTTTAGGAAAAGGATTTAGGCTAAGGTATTTTCTTGGAATTAATGTAGGCCAGTCTAAGAATGGTATTAATCTTTCTTTCTCTAAGGAAGTATGTAACTGATTTGCCATTAGAAACTTGGATGCTTGGTGCTAAGTCAGTTGATACACCTACTCATCCAAATATTAAATTATCAAAGGTTCAAGGAGAGTTGTTTGAGGATCCAGGCAGGTGCAGAAGACTTGTAGGTAGATTTATCTACAGCACGATCACTCGACCAGATATAGCCTTCGTAATCAGTGTAGTAAGTCAGTTCATGCATCCCCCAGGACACCACACTAGGATGCTGTGGAAAGAATCTTGACATATCTTAAGGAGGATCCAGGTCAAGGATCATTTACATGCAGAAAAGACATTTCAGCATCAATAACTATTCGGATGCCGATTATCTAGATCTCCATCAGACAAAAGATCTACTACTTGCCACTGTACTTTTGTTAGAGGAAATTTGCTAACATGGACAAGTAAAAAAAATAGAATATCGTAGCTAGGTCTAGCGCAGAGGCTCAATACAAAGAAATGGATCACACCACTAAGTTAATGTGGCTGAATACTTTGATGAAAGAAATAGGATTCACAATTATTGCACCGATGAAGATGTTTTCTGACAATCAAGCAGAATTCCATATAGCTAGCAACACAATCTTCCATGAGAGAACAAAGCATATTAAAGTAGATGGTCATTTTATTCGGGAAAAAGAAGCAAATATTTATCTACTCCATCTGTGAAGTTGAAAGATTAGTTGACTGATATATTCAACAAAGCTCTTGGTCGTAATTAGATCAGATTTGTAATTAGATCAGATTTGTTCGAACTGGGCATGGGTGACATTTATGCTCCAACTTGAGCGAGAGATTTAAAGATTAATTATTTTAGCTATGTATCTTGTTTATGAGTGAATAGGCCATTTATGTCCTTTACTATACTTTGGGTGCACCATTGACAAATGTAACATGCAATGTAAAAATATTGTGCATTCTTTACAAAATGAGGCCCTTTACACTACAGGTCCAGGTACACAACTACAACTAACTCTTCTCTAACACCATTTCTCACTTAGGTGTCAGCAACTTCACTGAGACCTTCCATATGTGATGGAAATAGGCCCTCAGGTTGTTCACAAAATTGAAAATTTCTACAAATATGTTTTCAAATTTCCAAGGGTGTTACTAGCCTCTAAGCTACCAATTCCCTAAGAAACTACATTGAGCAAGTCTCCTTCTATCTCTTGCATACTCCAGCGTGGTTTTAGATATATTGAACTAGTGACATTTAGTGAATGGAAGATCAATGTTGGTTTCACATCTACAGGCAAAATATGCAACTTTCTGGAAATTAGTAATGGCAGGGGATACATTTTATTTTGGCCCTTTGAAATATATAAGAGGAAGTTCAAACTATTGGATTAAAGGAGATTAGACAAGGGTAGATTGGATATGGGGCAAAGGTATTGTAGAATGGGGCTTGTGGCAAACGGGACAAAGGCAGCATTCACATTATCATGAAGGGATGAGGTGAGTTTCAGAGAAGTTCAAGTGGGCAGGAAAGAGGAATTCGAAGAAGGTTACAAGGAGACCAGGATAATTCTCAATGGAGGAAAGCACAAGAAACAGGTAAGGAAAGAGAAGATACTCATGAATCTACGGACCGGCATTTCAATGGGGAGGCCATTATAGAATGACAGTTATTTCATTAGGCTAAGCAGGGACCTGGGCATCGTTCCATTGCTTTGACACTATACTCTAGTAGAGGACTCTCATAATCTAGGTTTCCATGACTATTCCCTTGTCCAACTGGTAGGACAAAAACAACGTAAATTCCATAGTGACACTAATAGGGCAGAGCAAACTAATCTTGGTTCAATTCTCAACCGCAATAACTAGAAACAATAGGAGAAAGGCACTACTACATGAGCTTTCTATGAACAATATCAAATATTCTGTTTCTCCCGCACAATGCTCTCAATGAATACCTAAATTAATAAGCACAATATCTTCCAATAATCATTATGATGTTGCTAGCAAATGTACATATCCTACTTTGAGTCATGAGGATGAAAATATGGGATAATATACATGTAAATTTGTAATAAAGTATGCTTCTTACCATAACCACAGAATGGTCAAAAGATCCACTCAAAAGGACAGTCGCCTGTTGTCGGTTCCACGCCACAGCTTGAACCTGCAACACAATATATGGTGGAAGTAGTAAACTTATTTTCCAATGATAAGTGAAGGCAACAAGTTTCATCAGAAGGGCAGATACTTAAAGTTATCTAGAGGGATCATCAGATATTAAATATCTGATGGCTACCGTAGCCAATTTGCAAGCATTCACTCTCCATAACTAATCGAAAGCTTACATATAAGTAGTCAATCCATCACAAATCATAAAAACAAGATAATTAGTCCAAAGATTAGGTTATGTACTTCCATTTTTACTAATCATATGATAATCGTTTTGAATTTTTTACTTTTTATCTTTTACATTTTTTTGTTAATTCTTTCTACTATTCTTTCACGAAGTGTACAATAAATGCATTATAGAAACTCAATTTAAGGGAACAAAAAAGATATTAACATCAAAATAGGCTTCCTTATGAAAAATGCTCAAGGAGGCTGAAGTGGCCTCCTAGGTGGCCAGGGGCCCAAACGGTAGGCAGGAGCCCAAATTGGTCTTCCTTTTTTTTTGTTTGTTGGAGGGGGGAGGTGGGGACATTCTCTCCCTTTTATGGTTTTGATGTGTATAGAAAATTAATACTAATGCCAGGCAATGTGTAGTTTATAAAAAAAAGTAATATTAATATTGTGGCTAGGTGCATGTGTTATTGTGTAAATGTGCCACAAGTGTGCTTTTTTAAGAACCATACCCTTTCTCTTCTAAAAATTAAAGAAAGGTATTTACCAAATAAACGAAGGATATTTTACTTTTTAAGAACTGTGCCAAGTACTTTTTTAATGAACCAAGATTAAAGAAAAGTACTTTACTAAATAAAAGAAAAGGATACCTTTTTCTTTAAACTGTACCAGGTACTTAAATTCTTTTCATGAACAAAAGTACAACTCCAATAAAAGCTCCCTCCATCTCTAAAGACCACATTCCAAAAACCCATACACTCTATTCCCAAAATTGAAAAAGGATACTTTTTCTCTCTAAAATAAATGGATAGAAGTACAAAATATAAAAAAACTATCCATATACCTGATTTTCTCTCACTAAATAAAAGAAAAAATTTAAGGAGGTGGCAAGAAAAAAATTTAGGAGGAGGCACCAGGTGGACACCTTGAACAAGCGCACCTGGACACATACACACACCTCACCCCCCCCCCCCTGGCCTAGGCGATTGTCAGCCTGGCCACCTAGGCAGCGGGGGGCGACTTTTTAAACCTTGCTTATAAACATGTGAAGAAAAATAATTCTAGTGTCCAATAAGGCCCCTATTTCTGGATGAGAAGTATCACAACTAACTCCAGGGATCACAACCAAAAAGCCCCTTCATAAGAAGGTCAGTGAAGGAAACCATAATGATCTTCAGTTTAATAAGAATAGCAATGGCTTTTGCATCCATGGCTTGAAATAGTGAATGCCTGATTGACTGGTTCAAACCATAGTTACTGGGATATCCCAACTAAGGTGGCGATCCCACTCCAAAATCACGATGAGGTGTTCCCAAGGTTGAAAAAGTTGGCCGCCCGACCACCTAGGCGGCCAAGCTGACAATCTGCCTAGGCTATGGGTACAGGCGGACTTGTTCAAGGCGGCCGCCTAAGTGGGCTCAAAGCGGGCGCCTAGGCAGGTCTAGGCACCCGCCTGGTGCCACCTCCGTAAAAAATATTTCCTTTTATTTAGTGAGGGAGAATTAGGTCCATGAGTCATTTGTCTTCTCTCAAGGGGGGGACCATTCGAATGATGATGAGAAAGGAGGCATCACACTAAAGCTTTCAGGATGACATGTCATGCAATTAATGGCTAGTTGTATGGCGGGGTGGTGAGCTTCGGGGGCTGGTGTTGGAGTTAGTGCGTGAGATGGGAGTGTGTCAGGTAGGATATTGTGCCTGGTACAAGATTAATTAATGCTGAGCCAGGTTTTCATCAATTATGGGTGGTGGGGTTAAGGGTCAGGTGGCTCGAAGGTGGTTTACTTGAAGCAATGAGGTATAGAGCACAGTTTTCGAGTAGGCTCAGGAGGCGGACGCTTGGGTATTGAAGGGATAGTTGTTCTTTAAGGAGGGATGGTGATGGGCAGCCTTCGTCAAATCGTTGAGGGCTTCATTTATGCTTACCTTGGCAGGGTTAGGGCTGCAATGATGATGGGTGGCATTCAAGATTTGCATTGATGAGTAGGAGCTAGAACCTTGAGAAACATGGATATCCTTTTTGTTGCCACATGGAGTTCTGCCCAGGGAGAGGATCTTTTCGCATGCTTCGGAGTGGTGAGGCTCTCCAAGCCGAGGGCTCTGGAGCATGACTTAGGGTGTATTCCTGATAATCTTCCTGCCTCAATTTATTGCTCATGTTTTTCTTACTGATCAATATGGTCCAGCAGCTATTGTGGTGCCGGGTTACACCTTCTAAGATTTTGAGATTCACAGTGGCTCTCATGGCGGCTAAACTCGCCTGGTATCTCCCAAAGTGCAAATAACTATATTTTGCAGCCTCTGGAATGGATTACAATGGAGGTAGGTATGTTTGAGGGTTTGGACGACTCGATAAGAACAGTAACTCAACCCATGGGGTAAACGCCGAAGGATTTCCAGTGGACTGCAATGAAGCGTTCATAGTAGGCACCAATCTCCTTGAAGACTTCTTGACTCCAGAGATGAACTGGGATTCCCTTAGCAGTGATCCAAAAATTTTTTTTTTTTTTTAATAGCTCCAATAGCCTCCAACCATTTTTTTTGAGATGAAGCAAGTCTCCTCTGAAGTCTGAAGTACAAATTGGGAGAAGACCGGGCTTTGAGGCTCACAACGGTGGAAGGGAATGAGAGTAGAAATCTGCCACTTAGTAGAGGTGTAAAGTGGATGGGCCCTGAATGAATTATAGACTCCATACATTTTTTGATGCCCTTAAGGTCATCCCTTTGGGGAAAGAACTGATCCACCAGAGGGTTTTGCAGAAAGGACAGACGTTCTTCGAGCTCCATGTTCTGGCCCAACCAGATCTGAGCTTGTTGGCTTCAGCTTGTAAACATTGCCCTGACAGAGGCCATAACTCTAAAGGACGCTTGACTTCTGTTGTGGAATGTACAAACCCCCTCCATTCTGGTACTGTATTTTAGGCCTGAGTGTGTTGAAGGGTTTGGTCTTCCCGAGGTTGTTATGCATGGGTTGAAGGGAGGCAACGAAGAAATATGAAGTGGCTTTCTCTGGGGCTCAAGGGTTAATTAAAGGGAAAATTTTGTATTGGCCCCTCAAATTTCATAATAAGCTCTCCCTTATTTTTCTTATCACACAACATTATGTTTGTAAGTATGTATTATCCCCCCACCCCCCTTTTTACCTCACTAACTGCCACAAAGAGTATTTTTGCCTCAATAACTCCCCTTCCCCATCTCTTATATTTTTGAGGGACAAGAAATAGAACGAGGATTGGGAAAAGTTGGCATATTTTGTTTGGGGTAGTTATTGGGGCAAAAATAACAAAGGAAGCGCAGAGAAATGAGGAGATGATGGGATGATATATACTTCCACAAGATAATGTCGCCCAATAGAAAAAATGAGAGGTTATTATGAAATTGAATTTCTTTCAGGGGTCTGTACAAAATTTTCCCTTAATTAAATGGGTGCAGTTGTAACAGAGCGGTGGCGGTTGCGGTTGTGTGCATTGGATAAAACACTTATAAGACTGAGCTTCCATTACTGCCATTAACTGGACTTCTCTGGAACAAATTAAACCAGTACGAGACAATTTTAGATAGGGGGATAGACAATGGTAGGAGGGTTGGTTGACCTCCCTCTCTCTGTAAGGTAAGGAGAGAGGGGGGAAGAAGCTGCTTGTGTTGGGGAAGTTATAGTGAGGTTCACCGGCTAGCTAAAGAAAGGACAGCTAAGGGGGAGGGAAAAAGGAAGGGGAAGGAGGAAGAGGACTGGTTTATGGCTACTTGGCCCTTAATATTTAGATCAAATGATTTCACAGTTTCTCATTGCCAAGGAACTAACTTCCTCCCAAATTTCTTCTCATTGAGAGTATTTTCCAAATCTTAAACAAACTCAAAGACAAGAGTTTTATGTACAATTAAATTGAACAACATATGGTTTTTTTTGTAAAAAAAAATAGTCTTGTTTTATTAAAATTGAACAACATATGGTTTTTTTTTTTTAAATTGTCTTGTTTTATTAAAATTGAACAAAATAAAGTTAAGCCTCTATGTTGCAAATTAAAGCAAATCCAATGTTGTTTCAATGAATGCCTCTAATAGGACGTGTCATTATGCAGCATAAAAGCATCCAAATCAGTTTCTCATTTCAACTTTAGGTTGTTCAATAAATTATGGTAAATAGACTCCAAAGCTAAGCATGCTAGTACAAGATCAATACTGGGATCAGTGACCCCTAGTTAAGTCCTTGCACTACAATCACATTTACCAAGTAAAAGAAATTGAAAAGTGATATATTTATTCTTCACTTTTCACAATTTGCAAACCACGTTTTCTCATAAATGAATGATTTCCGCTTCACCAGATTTAGATCAGCGTTTCAGTTTCTTACATTTCTTTGTTCCTTTTCCTTCAGAGGTGCACAAATCACCATATCATCTTCATGTTATGTCTGGTACCCATTCTCATGCCTTTGAAAGAAAATAACAGATCTCCTGTTTTTTCTTGGCTGAATAACAGATCTCACATTCTATAAACCACATGTCCTAAAAGTTGCTGAACTTGGGAACGAGGTAACTTAACAATATTTAATGAACCACAGTAACTTTAAACAAGCAATAACACAGTTCAATGTGAGGCCTTTAAGCGCATTAGTAACCGTATATCTAAATGCAAACAAAGCATTTCAAATTGGCAGAAAGTCATCTTAATCCCAGTCCAAAATCACATAGCACTCCAAGTGAGTCATGCAAGAAAACAAAGATTGAAAGAGTAATCCTTTAAGTAGAAAGAAATGTCAAAATAGGCATCAATCACATTAAAATGGTCATAAATGTGTCTACCTTATCAGTATGATGTAGCATTGTGTGTTCGCATTTCCCAGCAACTATATCCCAAACCTTGACAGACTTATCAGCACTCGCACTAGCTAGAACATTCCTGAGTATTGCCGGCTTCATTATTTAACAGTGGCTATAAAAAGTTTTCTTAATCATTTATGATTTTATGATTTGGTACAAAAATCTACAATTGAATAAATCAAACACGAGACAAGGACTTACCTGAATTCTTTGTTCCATGCTAAACCAAGAACAGCATCCGTATGACTCCCCTCTTTGTACTGCAACATCAAATGAACAAAGTAGGAAAGGATGACCGAAAAGAAGACTATATTTAGTGAGTATCCATTTTCTGCCATGACAATGAATGAACTAGAAACAAAGTAAAAATAAGGACTTGTTTAGGTGTACTCATTATCACTAATAATTCACAATTTCAATATATTTATATCTAGATAAGGCTTCAAAAAATAAAAATAAAAATAAAATTGATCTTGATAATGAATATAATTTGTTGTTTGATAATCCATCATAAAATTATATGAGATTAACTCACACAGTTTTACATATAGGTTTATCTTTTTTAAAAGATGCTTTAACTTAACTCAGTTTAATTTGCAGAAAATCACTTGTTTTCATCAAGAAATAGCTAAAAAACGCTGAAAACTGCCAAGAAAGTTAGAAGTTTTGGGCTAGGGTACCAAACAAGGATTTAATAATACACACAGTTAACACTTTCAAAAAGAAAATAATACACAATAATTGAATAATAAAATATATAAATAGGGTATGTACAACAGCTAACAAAATAATAATATGCAAAGCATATTAATTTTTGATAAGATAATCTACTCATGATAAAATTAGCAGTCATCCAAACAGGTCCTAAAAGGACGAGTTATACCACTGATTAAAACTTCGTTACTTGGACTCGGATTCACCCAAGTGACTCGAATTGGCAAGGTGCCGGGTACCGGATCTACTTTATATTATTTACAGAGACTCACCCAACATACATGATCATTTCATGCTCACATGCATAGACATATGACACTTCAATCACACTTCTGATATCAGAACTAGCAGCTGCTTCCAATGCCAAATGTTCATTTTAATCCAAAATATCTAAATCAAGATGACGAGCACGTCTTCCAGGATTTCAACTCAGATATACGATAAACGGCAAATATATGTAACAGACAAATGAAAACTTGGGGAACAATTTGCTAATAACCAAAAACACTCTCCTTACGTGGATTATAAAGACAAAGCTTCATAACCCAGCATATAGTAAAACCATCAAACAATACGAAGATAAGATCTATAGTTTGTTTAGTACAAATTACCCATTTTACACAATTATAAAATAAGGAAAAAGTGATTTCGAGAAAATTTGAATAGATAAAATTTGAGCAAACAAACAGAGAGAGGAAGAATAAGAATAACATAGAAACCCATTCTTAAATAAGACTGTTAACAACATTTTCCAATATGAGCAAGAAACAGGTAAAGAATAAGCACATAAACATAAGTTCCATCAAGGCACAGATGTAGAATCCAAAGGAAAGTCAAAAGTCCACGCCAAAACCAACAAACTAACAAACCTTTTTTCCCTTGCGCTTTCCTCCCAATATCATAAATGGCTTAACCTCATCGAGCTGCAAAGAAAATCCCACAAAACATGACAAATAAGTGATGGAACAAACCTTCAATGTGGTGTCATTTGCAGTAATGTGGTGTCATGTGCAGTAAGATGTTGATACAAAAATAAAAGAGAAAAGTTTCAAAATTCATCAGGTAAGATACTAATCCAATAACAAACATGACAAATAAGTGATGGAACAAACCTTCAATGTAATAAGTGATGGAACAAACCTTCAATGTGCAATAAGATGTTGATATCAAAATAAAAGAGAAAAGTTTCAAAATTCATCAGGTAAAATATTAATACAATAACAGGGAGATAGCAGTCCACATACAACATCTAGATCCCATATCTCAATCTCCGGTTCCATTGATCCCACAGCTATAAAATTTCCTGCCAACAAACCATTCTCAATAAAGTAAACAAACAGGTTAAATATAATCAATAAAGTAAACAAACAGGTTAAATATAATTCAAGTAATTACTAGGAAAAGATACACGGCCAGTTCAGATACTCCTAGAGGAAAGATGCCTTAGCAATCTTGCCATCCATCCAAATAAAAAAGAAAACCTAAACTGCAGAGAACTGCTCTTCTTTTTTTTTCCTGTGTGGTAAGTGCTCAATAGACAATTGCAGGAGGCATGGATCCCATATGCAGCATACAATTTGTGTTGGAAGAAAAATGATATGATATCAACTACAAATCTGCATATAAAATTCTTGACAAAATATAAAGAATGGAAATATAGAATAGAGCAATTCACATGTGAGAATTAAAATGCAAACAGGAGAAATAATAAAAGCAATAATACAATCTCTCACTAGAATAGAAAGATAATAGAAATACCCCTTGCACATGTGTGTGTCACATGTCAACCATAAGTTACATACTAAAGGAACTTTCCTTAAATGTATGTGTCACATGTCAACCATAAGTTATATACTAAAGGAACTTTCCTTATATTACAGGCGATCTCTTTCTAAGAAATTTTTTAAGGAATAGGAAAAAAGCATTGTTTGAAGTAATAAACATCGACCTACTTTTATCAAAAATTTTAAGGAACGTTTATCAAATTTTATGAAATTGTTTAAGGAACAGAAAAAAGAGTAATAAACATCGTCCTACCTTTATCTCCACCTTTAAGGTTACAATCAAGCCATTCAGTGCAAAGAGGAAAAGCCGGAAGTATGATATCATGATGAACATACAGATTTGCCTCATTATCCACACTATCCTCCTCATATATATGAACCTGAAAACTCGATAACAAAGATTTGAATCTTAGTTTTTGTCCATGTAGGAGAAGAAGAAGTGAGTGTTAAGGCTTTGCATGATACTGCCATTCTAAACATAAATTTAGAAGAAGTGAGCGTTAAGGCTCTGGATATAAGTTTAATACAATAACATATGACATTTTTTTTCAATTCATCAAATTCATCGACATATACCTCGAGGTGGCTAACATCATCCTCATTACATGCACATATAATTATTGCATCCGTAGGCTCTATCCGCATGTCCTCAATTTCTTCATCGTCATCCTAATACAAACGACCAATGCACACAGATGAAAAATTCGTTATGCTACTAAATGATGCTAAATAAAAAATTAAAAGAAAAAAGGGAACAAGAACAATATCGAAGATATGATTGGAGGAATATCCAAAAAAAAAAAAACAAGACTCACATCCTTATCCTTCAAATAAGGATCATTGCTAGGATCGATGATATCACGAAGTGATCCAGAACCAAAAAAATCAATGCCTGAAAATTTAGCAAGTACTAGAACCCTGTTAAGTACCAAATCCAATTGTGCAAAATCAAACATTAATTTTTTTGTAGTGAAATTGTATGTGCAAAATCAAACTTTAATTTTTTGTAGTGAAATTGTATGAGTATGGACAAATTTTTTGTAGTGAAATTGTATGGGCATGGACAAATGACAGATTGTGTTTATCAATGGGAGTTTTTCTCATAAAGAGTTACCCTCATCTTCATCATCATAGTGATCCATGTCGAGCTCGAGAAGGCCACCGGTTATATCCTGAACTTTTGATGTCCCAGTTCTATCCCCCGAATTCCTGCCGATGGCATCTGCTGCAACCAATGCAGCAGTCACTTCATCAAGAGGGCCCTCATTACTGAGAGCCATATCATCATCTCCTTCATCCTTGCTGTTTCCACTTGTTAAAGGCACAAGTAAATGTCATTTCTTGTTCAATAAGTTTAAGATGTTCAATCAGCGATTGCTCTTTTGGTACATCGCTTTCATTGTACAATTCAATTTGACTTGCATGACATGAATAATGCATTTCCATTGGTAAATTGGCAGATGCTGGAAGATGCTGAGTATATGGGTCATGTTAGTTGAAATGCAAAGACAAATGTGCTGGTTTTGAGTATTACCCACACCAATCTTCACACACTTATTTGGAGATATATAGTCACGGAAATGGGAGGTCAGAAAAGAATATTTGTGTGTAGATAGATACTTTCAAAAGTAAGGTTATGAAACTAGTGCCATAAACATTATTTGACAACGTTAAATATCTTGTCAACAAAATAATCAAAATGATCTATAATAGATATACTAGGTTAAATATCTTGTGAATGAATGTTCACAAGAGAGTCATATGATTCAATCACCATAGGCTTATGATTGGAACCAAACTTCCACAGGTTCAGTTCCAATTATCATTCGTACATCTATATCAAATAATTCAATGACATATTTATGGCTGGAACCCAACTTCTACAGGTTCAGTTCCAATTATCATTCTTACATCTATATCAAATAATTTAATGACATATTTATGGCTGCTAGCAGAAGCCTTCAACTATATAACTAATCAAGTCTCAAGACACTCTATAAGAACAAGAGCGTCTACCCTATGAGATCAAGAATGTTCTAGAACGAAAATCAAAAAGAGCCATCACTGCTTATCAGAAAAAGAAATATTTAATAAAAAGTATTCAATTCATCATAACTGATGGATACATTAAAGGGAAAAGAATCACAGAGAAAGAAGAAGTACGGTTTAGATTATAAGTAGACTGTTACTCCGTAGAAACCTCTAAATTTACTTTTCTACCTCAGACACAATAAGACCACAGCCATGGATATCTCAATGATAAGGACAAATACCTCAGACACAATAAGACCACGGCCATGGATATCTCAATGATAAGGACAAATTAAGCCTAGCACGATTGTACAATCCATCAAGCTCATATCTTCTTAGAATTCATATTAAGCTTATTATCCGAGCAACATGAGCACTCAGCAATGCTAGTGATTAGTGTACCTAATGGATAAAAAAATGATGAGATAGATGATGAGATAGACAAAAATGATACACATTGATCGAGATAGACCAATAGACAAATGATGAGATAGATGATGAGATAGACAAAAATGATACATATTGATCGAGATAGACCAATAGATAGATAGTTAGAAAAAGGATCAAATTCTGAATGTTTAAGAGATCAAATTTACCTATTTTTTAATGTTTTTGACTTTAAGAGTTCTTCAATTTCATCCAGTGATGGTAATGGGGCAGTGTCTGGAAGAACCTTTGCCACCCCTTTAGGAACCCAAGACAGGGCTGAAATCATCTTTATTTGCCTACAACATGCCATTTGAAACAAGTGGAAATACTATATGAGAACCAGTGCAAACAAGTGGAAATACTATATGAGAACCAGTGCAAAGAATAAAATATAGTGGAACCTCTCTATCACACTCACACAGATACAGAACAAACAGGAAACAAAACCTCTCTCACACATAGAAACAAACAGAAACTAACAGGAAACAAAACCGATAGAATATCAAAATCAGGAAGGTCCAAACAATAACTGAGTCATTGATAAATTGTGAAAAGAAGAAGTCAATTTTCTGGTGATATTTACATAAATGAATATATTTGTCTCCTCAAAAAATTTTAAAAACAAAAAAGTTTAATTGACAAAAATCTGAGCCACAAAAATGACCAATAAAGCTTACCCAAAAAAAATAAAAGAGGAAGCCTCTGAAACTATCGTTTTCCAGAGAAATGGAGGTCTACAAGCAAGTGATGCAACCTTAATTTTTCTGGGGTTTCTATTTAGGGATTCGTTAAAGCTTGCCCACAGAGAAGGAAGAAGACAAACACTCAGTTCTACGTGTTCTAGACTGGGCCAATAACCATGAAAGTATGAACGGTAGATGTAGTTCAGCGAAGCTTAAGAAGCTCCGAGAGAGAAGCTCGGAGCTTGAGAGACAGAGATTTGAGACAGGGAAGAAGCAAGCTTTGATAGTGAGGGAGAGAGAGTGAAGCTTATAGAGTTTGGAAAAGGGAAAATCAATACTTTTATCATACCCTAGTTCTAAGCTCTCTGCCCACTCTCTCTCTTTCTCTCTCTATCCACCCCATAACAAAAAGACAGAAAATGTGAGCTTACAAAATCGGAGTTTTGATCATAAATAAAAGAAAAAATTTATATAACGTTGCAATTTAAAAATATAGAATTACAAATGCATTTCAAAAATCCATTGGAAAAAGTTGTTTAATGTTGAAAAAACCTCTAATTGATCTCTACCGTCTTCTTTTTCTACCCTTTCTCACTACCTGCCCTCTCTCTCTTTTATTCTCTATCCACCCAAAAAAAAAAGAGACGCAAATTGAGTTTTGATCATAAATAAAGTTTATATAATGTTGCAACAGTAAAATATAAAATTATAAATGCACCTCAAAAATCCATTAGAAAAAGTTGTTTGACTGATGAAAAAAACATCTAATTGATCATCTCGACTTCAAGATGTATGAATAATGAATATGAATAAAAAAAAAAGATTTTTGAATCCCATAAATAGTGCATCTTGCAATATATTATCTAGACAATCCATTTTCAAGATTTTCATATATTTGTAGATCTATTTGATTTTAACCATTTTGAAATTCTAAATTTTATAATTAGATATGACAATAAATTTTGAGATAATCTTAATAAAAAAATTTACCAAAATTATATCTTAAAATAAAATTTGGAAGTACGCTTTAATTAGATTGCTTAAGGTTGCAACTCATAGAAGCCCCACCCTAAAATAAAACAACATTGCAACTTATAGAAATCCCGCCCTAAAATAAAACAAGAAGGTTGCAACTTATAGAAGCCCCACCCCAAAATAAAACAACAAATTATAGAAGTCCCACCCTAAAACAAAACAACAAGGTTGCAACTTATAAAAATCCCACCCTAAAATAAAACAACAACTTATAGAAGTCCCACCCCAAAATAAAATAAAACAACAAGGTTGTAACTTATAGAAATCCCACCCTAAAATAAAACAACAAGGTTGCAACTTATAGAAGCCCATCCTAAAATAAAACTAACTTATAGAATGCCCACCCTAAAATAAAACAACCACGTTGCAACTTATAGAAGGGGGAATTTGGCTCAAATTTGGCATTATCAAATCAGAGAACCATAAAAGCAACAGAATTTGTGATCACAAAGCTTAAAATCTATTTACTTCCTAAAAAGTGATGAAAATCATAAAAAGGCAGAGAATTAAAGTGATGAAAATCATAAAAAGGCAGATCAGAGTTTACAATTACTTTCATTAACCTAAAAAAATACCATAAGAGGTACGAAAACCACCATAAAAGGGATAAGAAGATAAATAAGAGAGTACAAAGTCCAACAGTGTGTTCACCAATTCGTTGCTGCTTCTCTCTGAAACAAGAAAGTGCCCTCGGCTCCCTCTGAAATAAACAAATTTAGTGCTTTCTTTTTCTTTTTCTATTTTGCGATAGAAGTTTCTTCTTCTTCTTTTTCTCCTTCTTTCGTACAACTTTATCGAGTGAGAGAGAGAGATTATCAATAAATCAGCTCACCATGAAATCAGAAACTAATCATTTTTATTTTAAAAAGTCGAATAAAAAAATTGGATAAAAAATATGGATCGACATAAATACTTAATGTAAAGAGATCGTGAATATTTCGGACTAGACT